TTTTTTTTCGTAACCATGATAGTAATTTTTGTAATCCATGATTGAATTTTTGTAATCCATGATCGAATTTGTTTTTTCTTTTTTGTAATCCACGATGGAATTTTTTGTTTTTTATGCTTTTTTTTTTTGGAATCCATGATCGAATTTTATGTAATCCATGATCGAATTTTTTTGTAATCCATGATCGAATTTTTTGTAATCCATGATCGAATTTTTGTAATCCATGATTGAATTTTTTGAAAATTTGTGATTTTTTTTTTAATCCATGATCGAATTTTTTTTTGTAATCCATGATAGAATTTTTTGAAAATTTGTGATTTTTTTTTTTTAATCCATGATCGATTTTTTTGAAAATTTGTTAAATTTTTTTTTTAATCCATATTATTCAAAGAGAAAACGAGAGAGATGATGATTCAGAGGCCACCCTATCCCAGCCATATTATTCACATATCGAGTCCCAACAGCAACAGTGTAGGGATGAGCACGACAGTGCAGGTGAGCATGAAGGATGGACAAGCTTCGGAGATTTTGGATTGGGAACGCAACAAAACACTAACACTCAGGGATTTGGGAATAGTCAGACGCCTGTTAATATCGATGATTCGTTTTTAGATCGAATCAATGAATTGTTAAACGAATTCAATCAATGGCACCAGCGTGACCAAGAAGAACAATAACGTCGTCTATCATTTTATTTTTAGATCATATGTTACTAATTTTATGCTTTATTGTAGTCCATGTATGTTGATATACTTATTCCATGATAATTCTATGTTTATCCTTTTGTGTGATGTAAATTAAATGCTGAATGGCAGTTCATGCAAGGAAAGAACGTATCAATATTCGCATATTCATTCAAAAACATGAAAATTCTTAATGGAGTATCCTCATTTCTTATTGAATTCCTAAAAAACAATATTTATAATGAATTTTAATAATTTTTTTGGATTTTTTTTAAGCTTTATTCTGACCAATTCACCCGATTTCCAATCCGGATCGCCGATTCGTCGATCCGGATCGGTTTTTTGGGTGCCCGATCCGGGTCACCGATCCGTTTTTTAAACAATTGGTTTTATTATATAGAATTAACGTTTTACTGTGTGGAACTGTCGGTTCTCTTTTAGACTCGGACGTCTTCTTATATATACGTAAAACCGGAATAAGGTGATGATTCCTGGGTCGAACCAAGAATGCACTAGTGTGTACGATTATTGTTTTTTTTTTTTTAAAGTTGGCAACTAGGTTTAAGAAGGGTGATGACCTTACATTTTCCCTTAACCCGTCCCAAGCTCAAGTAAATGAGGTGTGTTGTGTTAGGTAGGCAGCCAACGTATAACTTTGTTAAAACTTATCATGATGAACCATGATTCGTGCAGCCGACCTCAATTGGTTGGAAAAAAGCTTTAATAATGACGATGTACAATGTTACATCACCAAAATTTAAGGCCCTAAAAATCTTCTAAACAGGGTTTCACCCAAAGGGAGGGAGTGAATGTATGATATTGCCCCCGCAAGATCATATAATCATTTGGCTAAACTAAAATACTTCAAAATGAGAGAGAGACAATGAAGTTGCATATATAATTTGATTGTCATAGTTAGTTCATTTAAAAAACATAAAATTCAAATAAAATATATATCAACATCATCATCATTTTAACCTTTTCTCAAAAAAAACAAAAAAAAATAAAAAATAGCTACAATCCAAACTACCTCGTAGTACCATTAGGTGCATCTTCCCTAGCCATATATACCGTTGGCAACGACATTGGGTCCTCTCATATGTGTTACTATTAGGGGCCTACAAAGGTACAAATATGAAAAACACTCTCTAATTGATAATCTCGACATCGAGATGTATGTATATGAAAAAAAAAGAAGATTTGGAGTCCCACAAATAGTGCATCTTGTAACACATTATCTTAACTATCCATTTTCAAGATTTTCGTATGTTTATAAATCTTTTTTATTTTAATTATTTTTTGAAATTTGAAATTTTATAATTAGATATGAAAATAATTTTTGAGATAATCGTAACAATTTTTTACACCAAAATTACATGTTATGATAAATTTTGGAGGTGCACCTTATTTGGATCTATAAGATTGCAACCTCATAGAAACCACACCCAGAATTTAAAAATTTAAAAAAGTGTAGATTGAGCATATTTATGAAAACTTGAAAATTGACGGTCTAAAAATACATTACAAGATGTACTATTTCCAAAACTTGAAAGTCATTTTTTTTTTAATGTCCATGCATGTTGAGGTCGAGATAATCACGAAGTTATTTAAGCATCAAAACAACATTTTCCGGCAAATTTTTTGACGTGCACCCTAATTTGATTATTTAGAGCTGCATTTATATAATTTTTTTCCTAATTCTTATGAAGTTTTAAAAATTTTAGGAGTAAAAAATATTCCCGAAGTTGGTATCCTGACCAAGGGAGTAGCGGTAAACAGCATGCCCTTTTTGGGGGAAAAGTTTACATAGAACTAAGGCTCTAAACAATCAAATTAGAGCACACCTTAAAAAATTTATTAGAAGAAGTTGATTTGATGTCCAAATATTATCAAATTGATAATCTCGACATCAAGATGTATAAACTTAAAAAAAAAAAAAAATGGATGTCAAGTTTTTGAAAATTGTAAGTCTTGTAACTTATTTTTGGACGGTCAATTTTTAATATTTTCAAGTTTTTATAGATCTGTTGGATCTACACTATTTTTTAAGTTCTAAATTTTATAATTAAAGATAAAAATATATTTTAAGGCTATTATAAATCTTTCCGATATTGAAACCATATTTCTGGAGAGTATCTAAAGGTATGTTTTACTTTGATTGTTTAGAGCCTCGGCTCTATACAAACCCCATCCTACGTTTTTCTCTTTTGGGAAGTAATTTTTGTGTTTTTGTGGACCATATTCTAACTCGAGGAAAAAAGTGGCGCCAACATTTCGGTTTCCTGTGCCCTAAATTTCGCAGGCCGAGAGAGAAGGGCCGAGGAGGCGAAAGACCGAGGATAAAACGAGGAGCGAGAACGCAAATCGACAGTACATTCGAAGTAACTTTCTTATTTATTTATTTATTTTTGCACTGGAAAAATTCGTTGTTCCCCAAAACCTCTAGAAAATCCTCAATTTCTCTCTGTTTTTTTTGGATATTCACGTTGTTAGAGAGAATGGAATAAGAATTGATGGAGAGCAAGTTAGTTTTTCTCTTCCCCCCTTTTTTTTTTCTTGGAGGATTTCTTTTGTTTCCCAGCATTTTGATAAGAAACGTATTTATTGAGTTTTCTGTTTCGTTTGTTGTTGGATTCATTTAGATTTTCAGAAAATATGCGTCCCAATTTCATCAAGGGCAAGTTAAATTATCTCTTGTTTTCTTATTTGTTTTCTGTTATTTTTGGTGTTTTCTTATTTTTAGCGTCAAAGTTGGGTTTTTACTTATATCTAATTTTTGGTGTTTGAATATTCATGATGGAGACTGATTTTGCAATACTTACACATGTATTAATGAGCAATGGAATCATATATATATATTGTTTTCTTCTTTTTTTTTCCCCAGAGATTTATCGAGAAGTTTTTTCCCTTATTTTTTTTTTAATTGGGTGATGGGAATGAAAAATAGAAAATAAATGAGCAATATGGTAGAAAATGATGTCGAAATTATGCCATGACACAGCCTCTGATGCCCAGGCTCTTGATGGTAGCGGTGGCTTCACAGAATTCTGGTGCCCAAGCTCTTGATGGGCATCAATTTAGAAAATAAATAAAAAATACAGTCGAAAATGATGTCGAATTGTGCCATGACATGGCTTCTGATGCCGAAGCTCTTGATGTAGTGGTGACTTAATCGAAGAAGTAGAGATTAAAATTAATTACGAGAAATAAGATTAAAGTTAGTATTAGTTACTAGAAATAAGATTAAAGTTAGTATGTCGTCTCCTGTTGATGTCAAATTGTTTAGGAAAGTTAATTTGGTATCTCCTGTTGATGTCAAATTGTTTAGGAAAGTTAATTTGGTATCTCCTGTTGATGTCAAATTGATTACGAAAGTCAGTCTGTTGTCTCCTGTTGATGTCAAATTGATTACGAACAAACAGATGTGGAGATGAAGGTTTTAACATGGCTTGTCGATTATAGCTCTAAACGTTGCTGAAAATAAAGAGGATCTTATAAATGACTGAAAAAAAATAAAAATAAAATAGCCTTAGAAGATGTAATTAGTGGTTAAATCCTTTGGTTTCTGTAGTTAAATGAGGTTTTAGATATCCCTGAATTGTTTGGACCCAACTTCATAATTCTGGAGTCCCGGGTCCGATGTCGAGATTTTGCTTATTTTTTAGTTGATTTTTTTTTTTTTTGAGTTAAGAGTGGAAATAAGATTTTGTCATGCGATGTTTGAAAGAGAATTTGGGTATTGGAGTGATAACCCAATCTCTCATGTTTGTACGTTAATGTCACTTATTTGGTAATCTGAAAAAGTGCTAAAAAAATCATATTCGGCCTATTCTCGCTGGTGTCTGAGCCCGAGCCTGAGCCGGATTGGGCTATTTTTATTGAGAAAACTTCAACTATTATTACAAGATCAGGAGACTCAGGTGATTCCTTTTCAGCCTGCAATCACTTGGTTTTTTTTCCAATATGAAATAGGCAATTCCGTGTCGGATTAGCAATTTCTGAATCACTATCTAAAGTATCCGTAACATTGTAAGATGGTAATGTAGTCATTCTAGTTATTGAATGTATAGAAGTGCACCAATAACATATCCAGAGCATATGCTGGCTCCATATTCAAACAAAAAATGACCTTTTTTGTTACTTTTCCTTGGGCTTGAAAAATTTACTCCTTTTTCCTTTAATCCACATGATTCTCAGAGGATCATGACCTTTGACTTATAATTCATTGATTAAGACTTGAATAGTTTCTTGTTAATAATAACCACAAAAGTAGTGTTTTATTTTTTGAGTGGATCTCATGCTTGAAGGTCCTAAATGATGGCATATAGGTTGTTGTTACGTCATGCGAACCAAAAAGGGGTATTGTTATTTATAAGGCGCGTCTTTTGGAAGGAATTTATTGAGATTGTGGTGGTTCTTCACATTTCTTTATTATGTTTTTTAATGTTTGTGGTGTTGTAAACTGCTATGGTTTCTTTATCTTGCTGATAAGTTATGTGAAAAGTCTTCCTAAGTGATCCTGCACCACGGGTAGCCTCGCATTATTGCTTAGTACTTGTGATAAAGTGCTTATTAATAATGCTAAATTTACCTTTTTGCCTCTGATTCAAAGGGCTATAAAATAATGAAGCCAATTTTGGACTTTTATTTTCTTTCGACAGATTATAGGATTCATGAAATAATGGACCTCACTCCTTTCAAGCGTGATGTTGACGATCTTCTGGGTGAATTCATCGAGGTTTAATTGAAAAGTTTTATGTTTTAGATTGTCTTTTTTTGTACACATCTGCTCTATTGGTGCTTAATTTCTGTGATCTTCTAAGTCATGCCTTCTTTGTAAATTTATCTCTAGATTGGAGCGGTAACACTTGCTGAGATGAAGAAAGTTTGGGTCTCTAGAAAGTTCACATATATTTATGAGGCCATGCCAAGTTCACATAACTTGGCATTCTTCATGCAGGCATTGTATGCTCATGCAATTGGTATCCTCGAACTTGTGGTGGTCTGTAACTTTTATAGTAATCTCATGTATAAATCTTAAATTCTACTGGCTGACATCATTCTGTTTGGTGTATGTAGGTTATATGGTAACTGAAGGCTCTTTATCAAAGAGGTTGGGTGGGTTATATTGCTTATATTGCCTTTATGAAACTCAGCCGTTTGTTCCACCTTTCAAGATTTATTTATCACTTGGTATGACTTTACACTCTTTTATGAAATTATTGGCACATTATCTATGTGGATGGAAGGATGGAATTCGTAAATGTCTGGTTGAAGCTACAGTTGACATTACTGATTCCCCTGGATACTATGTTTCTTCGTTTTTAGTCTATGTATGCATGGATAGATACACTTGTATGTGTATGCATCTGCTTTTAATTTTCAGTTGATGCTCGTGAAGCTTTTATTTAGTAAACTTGCATATATAATAAGTTTAATTATCTCGTGTGTATCTGCTGTTACTTTTCAGATGATGACTCCCAATGCTTTTATTTGGAAAACATTCATACATAACTTGTTTACATCATAAACACATGTTGTGTTGTGTATACATGTATAGATACAATAATGCCGACATGTATTAGTTCATGTGAGCATGCAAGTGCATTTAAGCATGCCTCTATATATGTAATTTTTTTTTTGTGTATTGGTTGATACTTCTCACACCCATATTTTGTAATAATGATAGAGCTGCACAAAGTTTCTCTCTTCCAAATAAAATTCATAATTCTTCTGCTTTACATTTTATTTCTCATCTACAATAATTTATTAAGCACATCTAAGATGGACTGATCTCTAGGTTTTGGAGTTAATTTCACATTTACTCTATAGTGCTTGGATTGTAGGATTCTTCCTCATAGGAAGAAATATGGAAACATTTCTAAAAATTTCCCCCGATTGATTTTATTATGGGAAGAGTTTTGAAAGATGACTTTTAAAAAAACGAGTTTTGAAAGATGACATATCCTATTCCTACGAATGTAACTCTGCTTGCACAGGGTGTTTTTTTCAATCATTTACCTTTCAGCTCTCTGGTATGTGATCGAGATAGGGTCTTTGTGACTTAATGAATTTGTATAGATATCTTACTTGATTCAAATGTGAATTAATTATGTGATTGGTTTGAATAATCAGTTAATAGGACAGAGAGAAAATGTTTTCACTGTTCTTTTTTTGTAGTAGAGCTGCAAAAGCTCAAAATCCTTGTAGCTGATGCTAAACGCAATGGGATTGAGATAGCACTTGCTGTCGTGAAAAGGATGCTGTCCAAGAATATGTTTCTTTTTGGCCATGTTAATGCAAATGAGGATTCAGTGACTGCAGTCATCAGTGGAATAACAAAGCAGCAGAATACGCAGATTCGTGCTGCACATGACATGTATCCCATTTCTCCCTTTCTAAACTTTTTGTTTGATTACAAAATGGGCTAGTCTTTCTGATCTCTTTGCAATTGAGCAGGTTATTGTCAAATTCAAAGATTGAGGAGCATGTGAATATGGACTTGGTAAGTGCTGTTACCTTTTAGCCCCTTTGCTTTAATGAAAAGCATCCGGATGCTTGTCCAATATGTAGAAATACGTTTCTCATGGTGATTCTTTGATGCAGCACTTCTATAAATGGACCGTATGAAGTTGTCAGTGTTAGGCATTCCTTTTTCTGTAGGGCAATATCTGACAACTCATAGCCATGTCCACATGCAACATCTGTGTCAGTATCCTTGTTACATAGTCTTCTAGGATAGTATGGGACTATGGGTTATACAAGAGATAGCGATCATCAGCTCTATCGCATCAAGCCCATTTAGGAACTTGCAAGGTGGACTTCAGATGTTTAATGATGCGCTTCCAATAAGATGCTTCGCTGCTGCAAAATTGGTTTGTAGAGGAAATAAAATAGGGAATTTTGGCGATTCAAGGTGTATAGGTCAGTGTTTTGAAATGAAGGATGTGGTCCCGATGTAGTCGGGGGCCCGATGAGGTGATGCGGCTTGATGCTGTCTAGCGGCCAATAAATATCATTTTTTTTTCAAAAAACTCTAGAAATAGGTTAATGCATCAAAAAAATACGGAGGTGATTTATGTGATAGTAGGTATTTAATTTATTCAGTAATTTCAATATTATCAGCTGTTGGAGACTCTAAATCCCCTGATAGAAGACATTAGAAAGTAGAAATTAGGAACTTTAAAGTAACTAAAAATCCATGGAAATTAGAGCATAAGCCTACCAATCTACCCAAACCTGCCACCCAAGCTAAACGCTTTCCTAATTAGGGTAGACCACCTAGTTAAGCCGAAACTCAATAAATCTGAGCCAAAACATATATTAAAACGTGCCAAATTGCCTTAATCAGCCCTCCAGCCTTAGTTTAAACATAATTGAGCCCTAATCACCCAAATTAGCCCTTAATGACCCATATTAAGGTCAATGAGCCCAAAAAACAAGTTCTAGAGGCATTAAAGAAGACCATATGGGCTTACTGCCAAATCGACCAAAATGGAAAGTTCTAAGGGAAATTAAAGTGGATCACATCGGTTTACCGCCAAATCAATCCTAACTGTTACAAAATCAAACCTAGGTGAACATGCAAGGCGTTAGCAAGCATGGTGGCATGAGATGGGGCCACAGTTTGCTCAACGATGCAAAGCGCATAGTAGGGAAACTGAACGGCCCAGATCGAGCTATCTCTTGCCCCTAACTATTACGAAGCCGTTTTCTATAAATATGTCCGGCTTCAATTGCTCTAGGGTTTGGAATTAAGAGACCCCCTTCCTATCGTATGGGCATGGACCCCATCCTTGTGCCCTAAAATCAGAAATTTCAGACCACTTCTAAACTTCCTAAAGACTAAATTGAAGTTCCAAATTCCCTAGGCAAGCCATTAGTTCTCTACACTTCTCACCCTATGGATATTATGCCTATGGTGTAAAAAATCCTAGACTTTTAGGACATCTAACCTCGAGCTCAAAGTCCAAATATTCAAGCCAAGATACGTTCAAGGTTGTTTCAAGTTAGAGAAGTCTAGACTAGAAAACTCATCAGTCTGATCTAGGCCTTACTCTGGGTGTCAGGCCAAGTAAGCTGTTTGTTTTATTTTCTCCATATTTCATTTCATGCTTGTGTAATTTTATTTCAATCAAAAGTGCTTTAGAAAACTGTTTCCCCTTACCTCTGGTTAATTTCTACCCAACATGGCTGGTGGCCCATAGGAAATAGCATGCAGGTCCACTTTCAGTGGTTTGTAATTTGAGGGTGCCTTGAATATCTATCCATAAATATAACTGACATTTTTTGGGCAAAAAATCTGAGCATAGAGATTCTGAGGTCTTCCCTGTCTTGATTTTGGTTATAAGTAGTACTGTTCATTGAGAGTGATACAATAGAGAGGCTTTGAGTTTCATATCAAGCTGCAGGCCCCTAGTGTTTCCATTCATAGTTGATAATGCAAGAAGAGATCCATGTCAATGGTAAACAAAATCGAACATGCCAAATTAAAGTTTGAGTTCAAATCAGCTGGATTACTTTTCCAATGGTCAGGTCTAAGGCCTTTCACCAGGCTTGACCTTTTTCTTTTTTCTTCTTGTTTTGGTTTTTAATGGGGTCACTCCTCCTTTTCTGGTGCTTTCTTCCTCTTCCATGTCGAGTTCGGCTAATTTAGAGTTATATTGTATTAAGAAAAGAAAGCCACAAGTTCATATCTTGTAGATCATTAATGGGTGAATAAATTGAAATACTATAGATTCCGAGTGATGACTTTTGGTTTCACGCTATTATATTTTCTACCATATTTGTTAAAGACCTGTTTGCGCCATGTCCATTCAAAAGTGACTTGAGTGGTTCCATAGTTTCCCTGTTCGGAAGTTTCATGATCCTTTTATGAAATACTAATCATCATTGTGTTTTCTCTAATGCTTCTTCATTTCAACGTGCATTCCTCGTAATTTTCTTGGAGATGTAAAAGACCATTGTTATAGTAATGCGGTTACTGAGAATGACATTAGTTTCTTTTTCTCTAAACATTTGACATTGAAACTAGTGTTTCTTCATGTCATGAAAGAGAGAGCTGTTTTATGTGGATGGATTTAAACGATAGGCTTAATGCTCATAAATTCCCTTGTCACTTTATCTTTCTGGCAGTGAAACTTTGACCTTTTTTATTTAAAGCTGGAAATTTCGCCAAGCATATTCTTCTTTGTGTAATTTGAATATGTGGCTTAGTCATCAATTCTACTTGGATCAGAGTTCTAAATTAGATTTGGAAGGGCTAAAGAATTTATCAGCAGATTATGCAAAAACAAAGGCATCAGCTTTACAAGGTGAAGTATTTCATCCTTTGTCTTTCTCAATGTGGTGGATATCCTGTACTCTCTTTGCTCTCTTTTTTGTATTCCTTTCATTCTCTCTATTCCTCTTCACTCCCCCTTTTTTTTTCCTTCTAACTTGAAACTTATGAAACATGGGTTTGCATTAAAAGAGGCTGGCAAGGTTGTAAGAGTTGAAGACATAGAGCACATAGCTATACAAGAGGAAACTGCAGGGGAGAGAGTAGCGAAGATTGCAGAGGAATGGGAATTGCAGCGGCAAGCTTATTATCGAGAGATAGGTACGGACGGCGCCACATGCATGAACAATGATACTAATGGATGTAATGATTTCGAAAACCAGTTGGAGCTCATGTTGGAAGATCATTCATCGGTGTGAGGTACACGCACACATATATATACACTTTTGATACTTTTGTATTGTACAAGAGAGAAACTTCGGTCCCTCAATCCCCCGCTGATACAAACCCTGTCACACCGTTGAAGCACATCCCATGAGACTATGATAGAGTGAGTTGTGATCCTTAAGTAATACATATTACCCTCAAGTAAAAATGCATTTACTGATTCAGAATCTTATTGTTTTCTTGTTTCAAGACGGTCATAGCCAGCAAAGCTAATTATGTTTCCATACTTGCACTTGATGGAATTTCAATTGACCAGTAAATCAGGCACTAGTAGAGATACTCAGTTCAGATTCGATCGGAGGCCATGACGATTATAAAATGCTTTCAGGTAACTTCTCTGAAGTGCCAGCATTGAAACTTGATTGGGTTTTATGTAAATTTTGGTTCTTTATTGTCAGCTGTCTGTTGTAAAAGTGAGTTGAGTTCTATTTGATGATTTGAAATACAGTTTGAAACTGAAATGGAATTCGGAATTGATCTTTGATGTGTTGGAATTGGGCTTATGTATGGCGGGTCTATATGGCTGAACTCCAACTCTGAGGCCAAAGTTTGATGTTCACATAAGGTATTTTGTGAAAAGCTGGAATGTGACCTAGGCGTGTATGATGAAATGTGTTTACTCCAGTCTAAATGGTGCAGCGCTAGAAATCGCCATCTTGATAGTGTGTTTAAAGCCCCTTTTCTTTATGATGCATAGATAAATGTATGGGTGGATGGTGTGGTTTGCTTAAGGCTTGGTCTCTATCATAAAAAGTAAAGCGGCATTTCATGCAGTTCTTGTGCCATAGGTACCTATTATGGACAATTTATTTATTCCTTTTATTGTGAAATTTGTACATCCAAATGTGGGGTAAGTTTGGTGGATTTTTTAGTGTTGAAAATTAACATTATTAGAACATGCTACAAGGTGCATTGTTTTTAGGGCTTGAAATCAATTATTTTTATTCAGTTCCCTATTTGTCGAGGTCAAGATGATTATTTTGACGCTCGTTTGGCTTTGGAATTGCAATTTGTGGAGATATTTGAGCCGAGTGTTTTTATTTTATGGTTTGAATTGTTGATGTCAATGCGATCAGTTTGATACTTTTATGGCGCTGGAACGACAATTTCTAGAGAGATTTCAGCTCCGAATCAATGATAAGGTTTTCTTACCTTATGGTTGCTTTTAATTTGTGATGTAAAAAATGATTGTATACAATGAGACTATTTAGGGGTTATAATAATTTATGACTGAAATTTGATAGCTTGGGTGTGATAAAGTTTGAGATGAATTTTTTTGAACATTGAGTTTGGTTAATAAATGCAACCACTTAATTTCTCATCCAACAGTCAAGATTAATTGGAATCACCTTTGGTCTTATTGTATAATTTTTTATATAGCAATGTTAGAAGGTTTGCCTTTCATCATGGGCTCTTTGGTGGACTCCTTGTACTGATTTATAATATGAGGAATTATATAAGGTATTAACCTTACATTATTGAAGTAGGATGTACTTCAAAAACCCTTTAGAAGAGAGTGCCTTCTAATTGATCATATCGACCTTGAATGATTTATAATATGAGGAATTATATAAGGTATTAACCTTATACTATTGAAGTAGGATGTACTTCAAAAACCCTTTAGAAGAGAGTGCCTTCCAATTGATCATATCAACTTTGAAGTATATGGATATGAATAAAAAATGAATTTTAAGTTCTAAAAATAGTGCATATTGTTAGTAGTTATCGGGTCTGTCAATTGTTAATATTTTGGAGTGGTTATAGATTATTTGATTTGTACTAATTTTTTAAATTTTAAATTTATTTTCAAGGGCATCATAAGATTTTTGACATGAAAACTACAATTCGAACCAAAATTTAAAGGTATACCTTACTTCAACAGTATGACGAGGGCACTTTATATATAAGGAAAAGGTTTCTATAAGGTGAGGCCTTAAATAATTAAATTAAAGTGCATCTCAAAAATTCACTAGAAGAGGTCGTTTTGATGTTGTCAATTCAATTCGACCTCAAGATGTACATACATAAAAAACAATAGATTTCAAATATTGGAAATAATGCATATTTTAATGTATTATCTAGATTGTCAATTTTCAAGATTTTCAAATGTTTAATGATATATTCGATTTATATTATTTTTTAATATTTAAATTTTATAATTGAAAATAGAAAATAAATTTTCAAGCCATCACAAAAATATCTTATACCAAAACAATATGTTTTGGTACTATTTGAAGGTGCATCTTAGTTTGATTGGTTAGAGCCTCGACTCATACAAATGGAGGGCTGGTAAAGCCTCCCCCTAAAATTGATGGATAATTGCAGTTTTGTAGGTGAAAGAATTTTAAAACGATCATCTTGACCTGGACCATTATAATTGTGAAAAAAATTAAACTTTCAAGCTACAATCGTTTGGAAATAAGTACAATATCAAATGATGGATAAGTCATGTATACTTTAATAAGTTTTCCATATTCTTTCTCTCTATGGAGCAGGAGCACTACAAACCGAGTAAGGCCATCAACAATCGACTGGGTGGCGTAGCCTTGACCCGAGCCGGGCGTGCTCCCCATAACGCCGCCCCGTGGTTGGGGATAGACTCGAGGAGAAAAAAAAAAGAACAAAAGAAAGAAATCACATAACCAGGACAAGGGCACCTCTCCTTGTCGGGCTTTGGCCCAGGCATACAGCCATCTTTGGGCTAGTAGCCCCACGCTAGCTGCATAATGTGGCCACTTCCCTAACTTTTTGGGCCAGGCCGGGCTTTCCAGACCGACCATGACACTGTGTTGGGCTGTTGGCAGCCTCTCTTTTTGAGATCTTGAGTGGGGGTAAGTTGTTTATAGGGGTGGGTCTGGGTTCAAATCTTGGACCCGAATACTATTTAGGTTGGATATGGTCCTGTAATATTTTTTGGGTCTCAATATATGAAATATATTTGAATATAGTTAAAGGAAAACATTTATATAGAGCTGAGGCTCTAAACAATCAAATTAGAGCTCATATCAAAAATTTCACATTGTTTTGATGCCCAAATATCATGCAATTGATCATCTCGATATTAAGATGCATGGACGTAAGAAATAGATAGATTTCAAGTTTTGGAAAGAGTGCATCTTGTAATTCATTTTGAACAGTCAATTTTTTAGATTTTTAAAATTTCATAGATCCACTCGATCTACATTATTTTTGAAGCTTTAAATTTTATAATTAGAGATAAAAATATATTTTAAGACTATAATTCCAGTATTGAAACAACATTTCTCGATACTATTTGAAGGTGTATTTTATTTTGATTGTTTACAACCTCGGTTCTATACACTATTTGATTGTTTGAAGGTCCCACACTATATTTTTAGGTCTGGGTACCATATCATTTTTCGGATCTGCTGGACCCAGACCCGACCCGACCAGTAGCCACCCCTTGGTTTCTATGATCAAATTTCCTCTCTTCAACAATTAAACTGGGGAATTTGGATCTAAAGCTCTCTCACTCTCTCTTCATCATGAGCCAATTAAATTGGGGAATTTGGATCTAATTCTCTCTCTCACTTTCCCATGAGCCCATTAAACTGGGGGATTTGGGCCTAATACTCTCTCACTTTCTCATGAACCCATTAAACTGGGGGATTTGGACCCTAATACTCTCTCTGTCTGTCTGTCATGAGCCCAGTATCACTTAAACTTTCTCTTTCCTCAACCATTACTGGTGAACTTGGAGCTAATGCTCTCTCTCTCTCTCTAAAACTATTAACGCGGACATATTCTCTCTCTAGAGCTGGTCAGCATAGTACTGAACAAGTATCACTTCCTCTCTTCATTGACGTCTTCAGTCTCACCTAACCTCTTTTCTCTGTCTTAGAAAAAAACTCCATTAATATTTTTTTCCCCTCTTTCTCTCTCTTCTGTGAATACCTCTCTCTCTACCCTATTGATCCTCCACACTCTCACTGCGCAAAACCTGTCAGATTCCTTTCTCTCTCTGCCCCATCAATGGCTTTCTACTCTGTTTTCCTCGAAGCCATCCCGGCGTACACGGGCCTGTCACCTGTGGCTTTCTTCACCACATTGGCTCTAATGGTGGGTGTTTACCACCTGGTATGCGCCTTGTTCGTGTCAGACCCTCCGCCTCCTAATGCTACTTCTCGGTCAGCCATGGAGATGATGTCGATGCCTGTGAATTTGGAGCCAGTTCAGTTGGGCGATGTCACAGAGGAGGAGCTTCGAGCTTATGATGGCTCTGACCCCACGAAGCCTCTTCTCATGGCTATCAAAGGCCAGATCTATGACGTCACTAGGTCAAGGTATTATCGCCATTTCTTCACTCTCTGCAATTTTATTATTTTATTTTGGTTTAGGATTCTCTTTCTCTTCCTTGTAGTTTCATCATTTTCTGCAATTTATGCTTGATCATTTTCCTTATTTTTTGCTTGAGAGAGAGAGAGAGAGATGTGAACTATTAGAGACTGAATAATTTGTGGTGAAGGACAACTGCATATGTAGAGATAGTGAAGAGAAGAACCATTATGTATGTAGAGATAATGGTTTTGAGAAGAAGTGCATGGGTAAGCAAGCAAATGAATTGTTATTTCATGACATTAATCCACAAAAATGAAAGTGAAGTATGTAGAATTTGGGTTTCACTGTCGTAGAATTCTTGTAGCTCACAGATACAGTGAATCCTATAGAGACCTTATTAATTAAAAAACCAATGTTTCAGAGTTTTCAGAGGTCTACAAGGCAGAAGTGTTGTGGATTTATGGGTTCAGGTTTTAGGCTTTTGAATCGAACTCGTGGTTTATAGTTTGTGTGATATGGGGATTGTAGTTTTAGAGATATAGAGTTCTAGGATTACAGTTTATGCCTATGGTTTTGGGATACAGGGGTACTGGATTTTGGGCATGGGGATTGGACTGTTTGTACCAGCTTTTTAAAGGCAGGATTTGGGGTTTGAGTTTTCAAATTTGAGGAGCTTTTCCTTTTTACTCTTTATCAGAAATTGACTATCTTTGGGGGTTTCATGTTTTAATTTTAAAGAGAAAAGAAGTTTTGAGTTTTATTATTATTTAATTATTTTTTGCTCTGAGGGTATCACTAGCCAAAGCTTCACTTTTAGAGCAAGGTTTTTGGGTTATTTCTTGCATGTTTGTGAAAAAAGTTGTGTTATTAGGTAGTAGAACGTTACAATGTTTTTTTTTTAAAATTAAAAAGTTACAAAGGGAGGGGTTCTGATCTAATATTAAAGGTTAAAGTATATTTATATTTATTAAATTGCTGAATTCTTAAGAATTGAGGGCTTTATGTAGAAACACAAATATTTCCAATAGGTATGGTCTCATGCACATTATTTGACTTAGTTGATTATGTCTTTTATAAATTTCTTATGTAATTAATACCTTGTCAATAGGGAAAGGCCTTGTGTACATGTTTAGTGTTCGGAGTGGCTTTTATGGTTTCCTTAATAATTCTCTTTTTCTTTCTCTCTCTCATATCTTTTACTGGATGTGAGTTGACATGAAGCTTTGACTTGTTGGTGTCTTTTGAGTGGAAATGTTGTGTTGGTTCTCCTCTTTGGTTTTTTTTGGTCCTGCATTTGAGATTAACGAGAATCGTTGGCTACGGATTTGAGCTCAACTACTGAGATTCATCTATCTACATATGGAATTGGCTTCATTTTTGTAGGCGCATTGTCTTTGCATTATTCAAGTTCCTTGGTCATTATATGCAATCATTGTTGAAATTATATGGACGGTAGTCATTAAAACCTGGCTTATATGAGGTGGATAACAGTTTGTATTTGAATTTGTTGGGCTTTCTTTGGTTTCATACTTGGAAGGATGGGTTTTGGTAATCAATTGAGTTGGAGATTGCACTGCTTTAGCTTCTTTGTTTTTCTGATGAGTGGTGGTGGAGCCTCTTTGGCTTCTTGTTCCATCGTAATTATGGCTTGCTATGAGGTTCCTTTCACTGTTCAATAGATCTTAAGATTGATGGCCCTCTTTTGCCATTCTTTTCATTATTGTTCCTAAGTCTTGGAGCTAGTTGATGGTGGTGACAAGGTTGCATTATTGAGGGGTTCACTATTGCAATGAATGTGGAACTTTTATCTCATCCCTAGTATGTGATCAACACCCAAATCTTCTTTGGTGCTGCAGTAACACAGGCTGAGAGTCTAGGTTGACAAAGGGGGACATAATCTCTAACCAGTAACCATTAATGCAATGAGGGGTTATGGTTCCTTTATTTGATGTGTAGGAAGATAAAAGGTGGACCGCCTTGTGATCCACTTGTGAGTAGTCAAGAATTTTTTTTTTCAGCTATTCAACATTATTGACCTTTCTCCAACCCATGTGGACTTGTTCATGCAAAAGTTTGTGGCGAATGGCACTTCGACCACAATGTTCAGAAAAAGGGATTCGGGTGCCTACGTGGTATGGTGCCTGGCTGCTTAGGCAGGTGCCCATGGACAGGGTGCCCTCACCAAAATCAACCCCCCCACCCCAAACATAAAAAATAGGGGAGTTCTTAGGGCATGGTTTATAGCCTTAGGGGGTTTTAGGGCAATTGTGGAGCCCCAAACTCCCCTTGATCATGAAATAGACGAAAACATAATAGTCCCAACAATACAATACTACAATGAGTACAATCACTTACTATATTTATGGACGAGACAATCATACAAGTCTCAAAGAGATTGTAACTTGTAAGTTGTAAGACATTAAAATGCTTGAAATTCCAAATGTCATTGTAGTAAACTAGAAGTCCATACTAGAAACGAATCAACGCTACAGTTCTACACAAGTCAACAAGGCAAAATAAAAAAACATATACATCAAGTCATCATTCATTAACCAAACAACTCTATGGCATCAGCGGCATCACCACTCAGGGTGTTCAATTGGATCATGAGGAGCGTTTGATGATGATGTTGTTGCCATGCCATCGTCATCAGAGTCATCGCCCTCCTCAATTTATTAAGCGTCATCCCTTTTCTCCTCTAAATCTACTTCTTCTTCTTCATCATCCTTTCTTAGTGTCAATGCCCTCTTCCTCTTCTTCGTCTCTGCCTTCTCCTTCCCCTTCCTTTGGCTCTGACTCTTGAGTTTGAGCGTGAGTGGTATGCGCAAGGGGAATTGCTGTCCCAACACCCTCACAAACCTGGCCCCAGGTCAAGCCCTCTCTAGGGAAAACCTCGTCATCACTGGCATCGACCATCCACTCGAATGTGTCATCAATATCAAATGCTTCAATAGCCTTCCTTTGATTGTGCTCGAGCTGATGATGGCGCTCTTGCAACTTCTGATTATACTGAACAAAGACTAGGTCGTTTAGTCGTTTTTGCTCTAGTCTGTTCCTCTTCTTTGTATACACCTAATAGAAAAAAAAACTCACTTAGTTACAACTTACTAGGTATTAACTAGTCTACTACGAAGTATGTATGACATTAACTTAATAAGTAATATTACCATTTCAAAGGTGCTGAAGTTGCGCAGACACCCAGAAGAGCTACAAGTCAAATTGAGTATTTCCATGGCCATCTGCCTCAAATGAGGGGTGCTTCCACCATGGCCCATCCACCATGCACCTATTTCATTTAAATGTAAAATTGTGAATGTAGTAATTTAGTAACTAAGGACTCTGTCCATTTGGCTAATTGAAATTAAATACTCAAATTATAAAATCAAATTGAAGAAGTTCTAAACTTTTCAGGAGAGATCTTGGACCTTTGTCGGATTGCCAACTCCTTACCTAGTGATCCAATAGCGAGCCTATACAAATCTAACTCCATCATTGCCTTATCCTGCATGTCAGGATTAGGTTTGAGCTTCACATTGCACTGGTTG